AAGTAGATTGATAGTGTTATTAAAAGTATAATATCCTAAGAACCAGCAGACAGTGTAATGGTTACGTTGCTGGACTCCCACATAGTTGACTGTGGTTTGAGTCCCAGACCCAGCAAGTTAAAACTCACACTGTGCCTGTGTGCATGCGTGTCCAAAATCCCAAGAGGAGAATGGAGGAGAAGGGATTGTGACATGGCCACCCCTGCCCTCACGGGAGGTGATTTCTTGCTTTCTATCGCTCTGTCTCTCTCTGAATCTCCAGCAAGCACAAGCAGCCTATACTAAGAAATCTCTCAAAAAAAAAAAAAGTCTAATATCCTTTCTGATTTTCTGTTCTATCAATTTTTGAGAATGGGGATGATGAAATGTTAAAATAGAAGTATTTTTCTATTTCTCTGTGTGGTTTTGGCTTTATGCATTATAAAATTTTATGACTTGATGCATAATATTTAGTATTGTGGAGAAAAGACTTTAACTTTTGGTTCCTTTATTCTTTTTAAAAAAGTTTTTTTAAATTGTATTCAATCACTGTACATCTTTACAGTGTACAACACGGTTTTTCCAACACAAAAATTGTGCATATTAGGAAAGATTTTCTTTAGTACAGGTTAGATCAATTGTTCTCTATCTCAGAAAAACTCTTTACCCGACTTTATATTATATAAAGAAAAATTCAGATGAATTATGAATATAAATGAGAAAAGAACAACCATAAAGCTTTTGGAGTAAAACATACCAAAATGTCTTCAAAACTTCTGGTAGAAGGAACCAGCAGTTAGCGTAATGGCTATGTCGTTGGACTCCCATGTAGTGGACTGCAGTTTGCGTCCCAGACCTGGTGGCTTAAAACTCACGCCGGGCGCGTGTGCGTGCGTGCCCAAGATCCCGAGAGGAGAATGGAGGAGAAGGGATTGCGGCATGGCCATCCCTCTGGGGGGTGATTTCTCACTTTCTGTCTCTATGTCTCTCTCTGTCTGTCTGGCGAGCGTACACGCCCTATAGCGAAAAAACCTCTCAAAAAACAAAAACAAACAAACAAACAAAAACTTCTGGTAGAAAATATTTCATTAGGGACCAGCAGTTTGTGTAATGGCTATGTTGCTGGACTCCCATGTAGCCGACCGCAGTTCAAGTCCCAGACCTAGTGGCTTAAACTCACACTGGGCACATGTGCGTGTATGCCCAAGATCCTGAGAGGAGAATGGAGGAGAAGGGATTGCGGCATGGCCATCCCTCTGGGGGGTGATTTCTCACTCTCTGTCTTTCTATCTTTCTTTTGTCTTTCTGGCAAGTGTATGGGCCCTATAGCAAAAATCTCTCAAAAAAAAAAAAAGAAAGAAAGAAAATATTTCATTAAAAGATTAGAAAAAGTACTGATCAGAAAAGTAACGCTGATAAATCATAATATGTCAGAATTAAGATTATTCATTAAAGGAAATAAGAAAGTCAGAGTAAGCTGTAAAGGCGAGGTGGAGATTCAGTGGTAATGCAAGGGGACCCACATGGAAAAGGTCTGGGTTTACACCCAGAACCTCCCTGAGCATGCCCGGCATGCACACTCATGTCCATAACGTGGCCAGCTGGTACCGGGAATGGATTACGGCATGTGGACCCTGTTAGGAATATCTGTCTCTCTTCCTCTTTTCAACCTCATGGAAGAAATCAATAAATAAATGTTTCCAAAGAAAGAAAGAAAAAGCCACAGAGTGTTAGAAATATCTTCAAATTACACATCTGACAACTTAAATACACAGTACATAAAAATGCCTACAAATCAATAAGCAAAAGGTAGATAACCCAATTAAAACATGAGCAAAAGATTCCAACACACACTTTACAAAAGACAATTATTGGGACCAGCAGATGGAGTAATGGTTACATCACTGGACTCCCACATAGTTGACCGCAGTTTGAGTCCCAGACCCGGCGGCCTAAACTCAGGCCAACCTGGCTGCTTAAACTCATGTCAAGCGCCTGTGTGTGCATGCCCAAGATCCCAAGAGAATGGAGAAGGAATGATGGCATGGCCACGCTCCCTGCGGGTGATTTCTTGCTTTCTATTTCTCTGTCTCTATCTTTCTGGTGAGTGCACATGCCCTATAGCAAAAACCTCTTCCCCTCCCCATAAAAAAAGACAATTATCAAGGCCAGAAAAAGGCATAATGGTTATGTCGATGGACTCCCATCGATCGTGGTTCAAGTCCCGACCTGGTGGCTTAAAACTCATGCCACGCACATGTGTGTGCATGCCCAAAATCCCAAGAAAGAGGAGAAGTCATCCTCCCTGGGGGCTGATTTCTCACTTTCTGTTTCTGTCTCTCTGGCAAGCACACACATCCTACAGCAAAAAATTTCTCAAAAAAAAAAAAAAAGACAATTATCTGGGTGAGCAATAAGCAAGTGAGAAGTCAACATTATCCCTCATTAGATAAATATAAAAAAAAACCACTATAGACCCACAAGAATGGTTAAAATTTTTTAAATTTTAAAAACTGACAATACGAAGTACTAGCAAGGATGTGGCACAAACTAGAAAGCTTGTGTTGCTGATGGGAGTTCATACTGGTTCAAACGTTTTGCAAACTTGTTTTTTTGGCTGCTAAAGTTAAACATATGAGAGAAAAGTGTGTGGAAAACTAGAACTAAAGAAAGTTTATTTGGGGGCAAAAAAAAAAAAAGTAAAGCAGTGGATAGTTTTTTCATAATACAGATTTTTCATGAATTCTCTGAAGACCCCTCATATATCTTTCCTATGACACTGCAAGACAATTGCTAGGTATATGCCCCAAAGAAAAGAGTACATATTGGGGGCCAGCAAGTCAGTGTGGTGGTTAAGGATGTTAGATCCCCACATAACCAACCACAGTTCAAGTCCTGGACCTGGTGGCTTTCTCTCTCTCTCTCTCTCTCTCTCTGTGTGTGTGTGTGTGTTCAACTTTACTTTAACAAAGTTAAATAAAATACTTCTTTAAAAAAAAGAAGAGTGCACATGTCTACCAAAGAATGTATAAGAATGTTCAAAACACTTTGATAAGAGCTGAAAGCTGAAGACAACTCAAATGTATATAATGAGAAGAGAGAAACAAATTGAGGAAAAACACAATGTAATAGTATATAGCGATAAAAAAGAACTGATATGGGGCTGGCAAGTGGCATAGTGGTAAAGGGCCCTAGACATCCACATGGCCGACCACAGTTTGAGTCCCAGACCTGGCGGCTTGCTTTCTCTCTCTCACTCTGTTTCTCTCTGGTCAAATTAAAATAAATACATAAATGGATAAATAAAGTTGAATAATTCTTAAAAAAAAAAAAAAGAATTCATATATGCAACATTACGGATGAGTAAAAAAAAAAGTTCAACATAGCACAGCAAAAGAAACCAGACCAAAAAGAAATAGTCTTTGTTTCAATTTATATGAAGTTTAAGAACAGAAAAACTTATCTATGGTAATAGATGCAAGAACAGTTACTTCTGGGAGTAGGTAAAGGTAGACACTGATAAGTCAGCAGGTGGTGTGGTGGTTAAGGTGCTGGACTCCCACATGGACCTGGTGCTTTGCTTTCTCACTTTTTTTCTCTCTTTGTCTCTTTCTGGTGAGTGCATGCAGTGCATAACAAATTTAAAAATAATAATAATGATAAATAAAATTAAGTAAATAATTATTTAAAAACAGAGATCAGCAGGTGGTGTGATTATGGCACTGGACACTCCCACATGGTCGACCACAGTTTCAGTCCCTGAACCTGGCGGCTTGTTTTCTTTCTCACTTTCCCTCTCTCTCATTGTGTATCTCTCTCTGGTCAAATTAAAAATAAACTAATGAATAAATAAAATGAAATAATTATTTAAAAAACAAATAAAAGGTAGGCATTGAGTGTGTAAGATTATGAGGAACCTTCCAGAGAAAAGACAGGTTCTATTTTAGTTTGTGTTGTGCCTACATTGAGTATATACAAATGTAAAAGTGCCTCAAGTGGTATATTCAAGATTTGTGAATTTTACTTTATATTAAAAGGGTGATCTATCAACAGAGTGAAAAGGATAGCAACAGTGATATGTATGACAAAGGACTTATATCCTGAATATATAAATAACTCCAAAAATAAAAATCATTAAGGAAAAAAAATACAGTCCAATAGAAAAATGGGCAAAAGACATGAACAGGTGTTCTACCAGAAAGGATATCCAAACATCCAATAAACATATGAATAGCATTCACCTTCCCTGATCACCAAAAAAATGCAAATTAAAGCCATTATATAGTAATGAGGATGGCAAAAATAAGAAACCATGCCAAACATTAGTAAGAATTTGGTAAATCTGTAATTCTCACTCACTGCTCAAAATAATGTAAATTGGTTCAATTGCTTTTGAAAATTGACAATATCTACTAAAGCTAAACATATGGTTGGCCCCATAGCACAGCAGTTAAGTACTGTGCAAAGAGAGCTGGATCCTATGGCCAACTGAGGTTCAAGTCCTGGCCGTAGCAGCTTAAAACATATGCTGGGCATATGTGTATGCCCATGATCCTGACAGGATGAAGAAATGGAGGAAAACATGATTGTAGTATGACCAGGCCTCCTTTGGGGATGCACATGCTTTCTCTGAATGTGAACGTGTAAACTCTCTGATGATATAAGTACATGAAGCTGAATGTAGTCCATGTTATCATCCATAATAAGTAAGTATGAACGTTAGCATTTTAAAAACGAGTGCAGGTTTAAGATTAAGCTATCTTTTATTATCCTTCTTACCTCTAAAGTTATGAAATTTTAAAAATTATTAATTATTTTAAGTGTAGTATTATCTTTTTGGAAATGTTGCTGGCCTATAAAAATCAATTAATCACTTTTAACATCTCAATAAATGAGGCCAGAAACTTGAAATAAACACAATTTTATACATTTTTTTCTTCCATAATTACCAACAGACTTCCTTGCTGTGAGCACTGCAGGGTAAGTTAGAGAAAAGCCTGGCCAAGTGCCAACAGCTTCACCTTTTTGCTGAGATTCATGTTTTCCATCTTAGCCTTCAGCAGCTTCATCTTATTCATAGTTATGGAATTTTCAATTATCTGTTGCCCAGAAGGAGAAGGCTCAATTTCTTCATCCTCATCGGTATACAAATTATACACAGAACCACCACTGCAAAGAAAACAGTAACTACATGAAATTTGCTTGATACCTGCTCAGTGACTAAAAGTAGTCTAAGTACAATAGCAACTACACATTTTGCGAATGACGTAACAGTAAGTCTGGCCCAGCTCCGGTGCATCGCTGCACACTGGGGTCATGCAGGGTTTGGCTCCTGCACCAACTCAGACAGGCTGGGTGCGGTGGAACGTGCCTGGAATCCTAGCTAACTGGAAGGCGAGGGCAGAGGTCCACAATGGCAAGATGCTATCAAAAATATCCCCCAATAAAAAATTAAACAAAACCATTATATCAATTTTGTCAAGGAAAATATATTTCCAAAAATGTGTATTTCTGAGAAAATACTAAGTAAGGAAAACTTCATGATCTAGTGTTACTGAAAGTTGAATACAGCTGACCTTCTCTGAGTCCGTATCTCTTAAGTGAAGATCTTTGGCACCTGCTTACATCATTCCCAAAGTGTCAAAATCCATTTCCACAAGAATGTTCTGATTTCATTTTATCACCAGGGCTCTCTATTGCACAACCACCACAGGCTGATCAGATTTCCCTCAACCAGAATGAGAAAAAAACTGACAAAAAAGAGGCACCAATGTTTACTCATCCTGAGGTGATGAAAAAAAAAGGAACTCATATTTGGGTATCATAAGACTATTTTCTACCCTTAAGGAACAAAAATATGTTTTAAATAAGGATAACTTAATGTTTTCTAAGTGTGTTGGGAAATATAACCACCTATAATAACAATCAATTTTAACATGATAAAACAAATCTACCCAGTCTAGTCATAACACAAATGATCACATTAGGCATTTCAATTACTAATCAACCACCATGATACTTATTCATACTTTAAATAGCTACTGTTTGGAGTTCCTCTTCTTTGGTTGCATAAAATAATGACACGTATCACACCACGCTCACATTTACATTTACCTGTCTGCCTTCTCTATGTAAGCAAGGTGGAAGCAGATGTTCATCTTCCTAGCCTTTGCACCTGACACAGTTCTTCACACACATAAAGTTTGATAAACTGAACCCAAACATTAAAATTTCATATATGTTTTAAATGAGAAAATTAGAACAGGGAGGACTGGGGGCGGGAAAGTACACCATATTGGCAAACAGTTAAAACTTCAAACAGAGCAGAGTAAGAATTTGTATCAGTTACCATACCTGACTTACTTATATGAGGACTAATGAATCTATGCGAGAGAAGTAGGAGGGTTAGTAATATTTCCCGTTTTATATGGCTGTAAGAAATGGAAACGGTTTAGGATAGCTTTATCAGGAAACATTCTACATTTCTAAAGAACCTGCCACCATCACAAGGCTGGGGGGGGGGGGGAGGGGGGGGTGGCGCCCCTTTCTCAC